TTCCTCACTATTCTCTTCAGAGGGATTTATTCTGGTTCACACTACTACCAAAGGCACTACCGCAAATTTCAATAGAGTAAGAAAGACAAGGAAGCGCTTTACAAAATAGTCTGATACAAAAATTTCAACTGCATTATATGAATCTTTTGTTGTTTTTTAGCACAGCAGAAGGCATTATGCATCAGCACATGAAGTGCTGACGAAAGCAGCTGAGTGATGTAACTTCGGAAAGTACTTGCCAATAGCATGCAGAAGTCAATTCCAACAAGACACTATCTGCTTCATAGAGTGACACACGACACAGTGTAAGACCAGATTCATGTTTCATGTACTTCTATGTCAACAGTGGAAGAGCAGACAGCATCTGATCTGCCATAAGCTTTGTGGGAAAGCTACAGAATTTTGTGAACAACTTTGAATTAGTAGAATGACTGCTGATAAGTAGTATGCATTAATATTACGTGTTTGGATGCAACACTCAGATTTATAATTTCATAGAACCACAACACAAATGAATCACACAAAGATATCTAATTCAAACAGAATAAACTTCTAAGCACTTTAGAAACTTACATAATAGTACCTGTAAGTGCACCTATAAACAAATTGTTCTAACACTTCCTGCTTATGCTTGGCTTCCTTTATGCTTTTACTGAATCACTGCCACAACAGACTTGATAAAATAATGATACTCTCCATGTTAAGTGCAACACTATGTGCAATAATGTCTTCAACAGAAATAAATCGTACATTTCTGCTCTTTTCCATATTGCCTTCATCTCATTGCTTCCTTTTAGTTACACAGATCTAACATTTGATCAGCTGCAGAACAAATTTGTGATTAATTTGGAAAAAATTGATAGGAGGCTGAACTTTATCTGTCATAATGAATCAAATAATGAAACTGGAATCACACCGGTTTTGTTATTTTGGTCCCCGTGCACTAGAAACCAATAGATAGTAACAGAAGTGGCTGATTTACCTTGCTATCAGCAAAAAGTACTTGTAAAACTCTAACATGGACTGTTCAAAGTAACAGAGAATTTATTGGATATATAAGTAAGATTTTCAGAGTGAAGATACGTTAAGGTTCCAATCATTTCTAACCCTTTCCACCTTACTTTCAAGTAAATCCACAACTCAAATAGCCATTGACATGTGCAGACTGTGCTGTACACTGCTAATAACTTTGAATACTATCTCAAGCTATGAGACTGAAAATAGTCTTGTATAACTATATATGCAAGAAGAACTATTTAGATGGTTCTACTGCAATAACCATCTAGGAACCTGCTTTTCCACATGTGGATTCAAAAAGATAGGAAAGGAAAAAAACAGATTTGCACAGAGTATATCAAAATTTTAGAAAGAACTCCTGAATAATTACAAAATAGGGAGATCCAAAATGTCTTCACTACAGTGGGCCACATTAGGTAACAAGACATTTTTCTGGTTAGGTTTTATGTTATGTTTATGTTCTCCCACAAGTAGTAATCCAAACTTTATTTAATGTAGTGATTTTCATACAACTTATATCCCAAAACACTATCCTCCTCAGGAAAAAAGAATGAAGCAATGTTGCAAGACAGAATTCACCATTACAAATTTTCCATCAGCTGGAAGTCTGGAAGCCAAAGCAGGAAGAAACCTGAGACTAATCCACTCACCCCTAGGACTGCAACCACTAGAAAACGTCCTTTCTATTTTATTTTATGTTGTTAACAAATGTAAGCATTCACATGAACTGTAGCACATTAAAAGCCTATATTTTTACCATGACCCTCAGTTCCTGTATCTGAAAAAACTTAATGCAGAAGAATTTTCCCCAAAAATATTTATCCCAAAGTTACCATGAACATTTTATGTTACTCAATTATTCCAGTCCATACCTGCAAACCTGCCAGTCGAGCAGCTGACTTCCCTTTGAGGCAGAGAATGACTGCCACAAATGCATTTAAGTCCTCCAGAGAGAGGCTACTGACCTAAAACAGATGAAAAAATAACACATTATCTGAAGGCTCTGAAGAGGAACTTTCTGAAAATTGGCTCCTCTTGCTCAAGCACATCAAACTTAAACCAATTACCTCATGAAGTTATAACCACCATGAATGCATTGTCTAGGAAAAGACACTTAAGAGGAACAAAATACTTACTTTCACAACTTGAATGAAGTGCATACCCCAGTACCCGTGTATAGTGTATATACATGGATTTCCACACACCAAACAAAATGCCCACCCTTCATGTATTCCCTTGCCCTCTTCCCTTGGAGTTTCTTAATAACAGGAAATTTCTTCATCACCATAACACTAAACATAGTAAAAAAATGAGATTCAAAAAAATGTAAATTGCTTTATAATCAAGACCCAGAATAAAAACCACCTCAATGAGCCATAGATGTGATGACCATCAGGATTTCTTTCAAATGCTTACATGGTTATCTGTTGGAAACTTTAAAAATTATCTAAAATATTTCAATTACCTATTTTAAGCTAAATTTCAGGATTTAACAAAACGTATTTGGATTCTTTTAGGTTTTTAGGTTACATATTGAAGTGGGAAGAACACAAATTTATAAGAAAACTAAACCTAAAATGTTCAAGTGGGCAAACATAAAGGAAAATTCTAAATTCATGTAAAAGCTCACTCTAATACTTCTATCAGAAAAGGGAGAATGGGGGCATTTACTGTTGTGAAAAAGGATTCTGAGATTCTATAGAGGCACATGGTCACCTGAGGAGAAAGACAGCACCTCTAGACCAGCTGGGCCGATTCCCTGACAGTACCAGTCCAGTTCTGATCACTTGCTTCCTCTTAGAAGAACACTATAGATTATACATGTGCACCAAGACCAAGTATCTGTTACAAATGTTGAGGCTATAAAGAGGGCTCTAAGTGACATCCATAAAGCATTACAATTCTTTATCAATTGGAACTCGAGGGAAGGTTTCTCTTGCAAAGTGTGGAAATGTGCATTGTGGGCTTCCAGTACAGTTAAAAGGCTGCCTAAAACTCTGCATTGCCTTTCTTTTAACAGCTTGATTTTTGGGGAATGTTGTGTATATCCCATTTCAATCCGTTAAGAGTTTCTATTACGGCTATTAAAAATCAAAAAGTGACAGAAAAAATGAAGGAGAGAAAAATTAACAAAAAAGTATTGATGTACATCAATAGAAAAAGAAAAAGAAAAAAACACTAAGAAGCTGTCTACAATTACTTCATTCATTGACTTGCTTAGGAGGGGTAATCCAGTCTTTCCTCCTCAAAATAAAAATTATTCAACCACTACTGAGAATTTTTTTCTTTTTTTCTTTTAAATCAGGCCTTGCTGCTTATCCCACTGTAAAATACTTTGCCCTCTATGACTCTGTTAAAACTTGCATAAAGCACAAGAATGTGAGGGGTATGAGAAAAGTTTTAAGCTTTCAAAATGCTCCTTGGTATTCATTAACTCCACCTGGCTGCTAAGATCTGATAACGGCCCTACTTTACCCTGTATTTCAAGTCAGGTGTCACCTTTGTGTAGATGGTAACAAGCGAGGTTTACTAAACCTGCACATTTCATACATTGCAGTAACAGAAGAAATGACTTTCATCTACAAAACAATTCTTAATACTTGCGCAATTTTGTCCTAGGAAAAGTAAGTCAAAGATTGCTTGCAAGTACAACAGCAAGGAAATGCCCCCAACAGAGCAGATCAGCCAGAATGCTTACGATTATCAAAACACTTCTTTAGAGAAATATTTTATTCAGTAACCAAACTTGGTGAGTTGTCACACTTCCATTGTCAGATTTCTTCCAAAACTGTAAGAACTTGAAAGAGAAATTTCCCCTTTCTTTGGAGGCTCCACAATTTGATATGTGAACTCATTCACTTCTTTCCTAACTTTAAAGACAGACCTATTATTTTTTTCACTATTTTTGTTCTTAATTTGGAGGATATTTGAAAAGTACCCTCACTGAAAAGATTACTCTTGAAATCGACACTTTCTTTATATAGTTAAGATTTGCTTATTGGAATTTTTTTCTCACTTTAAAAAAATGCATCTGACGTTTTCATTAAATACTTGCACATAAATTTTGAGGAAGCCAGATGGATTGGTCAGTATGCTGGTTCCTGCAAAAACCTAAGTTTTAGGTTAGATTAAATGATAAGTAATGAAATTTTTAAGTTTATTTCTCCCTCATATAAGCTGAAGGAAATGATGTTAGCCTGTTTGAAGGCAACTACAATTGCTCAACTTAAATCACCTTTGGGGTAACAATCCACCTTCCCTCTCTAATACAAATGTAAGACTAAAGTGTAAAGTAAAGACAAGAATTAGGCCACAGTTAGACAAGCATTGTTTTCTCAGCTATGAAACAAATGGAAGCAGTATGGTCAGCTCAAAGCATGGTTGCTGACACTCTTGCTCTCATGTTTTCCCCTCAAACAGCCCAAGAAAACAAATGGACGATATCAGAGAACTAACCAAAGCTTACAACAACTCAGCAATGAAAAACATTTCAATCCAAATCAATTCCCTAGCCTGGCTCATAGGGTAGATTGTATCAGTGCAACTCAGAGGGTAGAAGAGAATCAGGAAAACGGGACAGGTGTTGAGAAACTGGCACTGCCATGAAAAACCTTCCATCAAACTAAGCCCTTTGCATGATCTCTCTGCTATTATTCTTGTTGAAAACATGAGCTGCAAAACTGTTTTCAACATTAGCCATTGGACAATAAGTTCCGAAAACCATATCCCTAACAAGCATTTTTTTTTCATTGTATTAATATGCTGTGATCAAGGCTCAGTAAATCCACATTTCTGTTGGTGTTCTGTCCTGTTACTCTTCTTCTTAATCCCACTAAAGAAACCCTTCTCAAATAATTTAGTAATCATGCTATGAAAGGGTACGCAGGATAGCAGAATAAGTAAATGAAACAGTGAAAACAGATAAATAAATGAAACGGTGATTTCATATCCAAATATGAAAAACACTTAAAGCATGTTTAAAGCTAAGTACATGACATGTATCTTGCTGAATTGAAACTGCGAGGCATGAAATGATGTTTAATGAGTTTCATTTTCAAAAAACTTTCCATTTATATTCTGCTTTACAAAAATTAAAGAAAAAAAAGAGCTATATGGATCATTTGTATAATTCCCATTTGTTCTTCCTCAATGCATCATCTAAGTTTGAACAAACATGTATGAAGGAAAAAAAAAAGGAAAAGTCAGGGAGAACTTGTTTTCATGTATCACACACCAGTATAAATCTGTTATTGAGGAAAGTCTGAAAAAGCAAAACAAAAGACAAAATGTAGCTCAGTGTAAGTAAAAGTGCAACAGAGCTTATCAGATAAGATAAAGGCATTATAATTTTCTCATCCTCAGAGAGGAAAACCTGCTTGTGAGACCAGCATTTGAAAGGTGGCAAGTACAGACAATGTATTAAATACCTAAGAGAAATGTAAATAATGAAGCAATATTGTATTTAGTCTTGTGTTCCTTTTTATTACAATTAAGGTAATCTGCAGGCTGCCAAATGTTTGGAATTATGACAGAACTGCTACCTAATGATCACCTATTACTCAGAATTTAATGAGAAGAGCCATATCCTCAGTTCTGGCTGGAAACTGAGTAGATTGACAGGATGGTGTGAAAACGTAGTGAGAGCTGACTAAATATTTATATTGTCTGTTTGCACAGCCTGCACAGCCACCTGAGGGAATGTCTTCTTTTGATGACATAAAGGAAACACAAAAAGAGAAGCTTTAACTTGCAAACAGGTCCCAAAAAGTGGGGGAAATCCCTCAGTTTATACTCTCTCTGTTAAACTGCCCAAGGGGCTTTGTCACGGGCATGTGAGAGTTATGATTAACTACTAAAAAACCCCAAGTGTTTCTTGAACAGGATGATGCATGTTAAATGGAGTAATTAAAAACACTGTAATGCAGTACTATTATATTTGATCAACTATGCCTACAGTAAAGATTAAGAGAAAAATCCAGCACAGGCTAGCAAGAAGCAGTTTATTAGTCAATCACATCTATCAGCGTTGACAGCTGAAGAAAAAGCAACTGTCCCAGTTACCTGCATCATAAGATAGGCCAGCAAGCAGCAGAATGCTGCAACAGGTGCTTCTAGAGCTTGGAGCTCTTCCATCCTGTCCTGGAGGTGAAAGCATGCCAGAAATGTACTATACCGTTGCTTTTCCACATCAGGTCCTTTGGCAAACCACAGTGTTTTCAAATTAGGTGTTCCACCTACAATAGAAATCCATTACTTTATCTTGGCAGCAACAAGATAAAACATGCCTACCTCATTACAATCTGAAAGCAAACAACTGATCTGCTCTTGGCACTTGTAAGGACCACAGAGTTAAATATGAAATGTATTTGACAGAACTTGGCATTTGAAAAAAAAAAAAATTAACGAAAAAAATTAAGGCCTGTAATTTAAAAGAATTGTATTGAATACAGGCATGTTTAAGCAGAGTGGACTGAATTCGATTGTTACAACAATATAGACAACTTTGAGACATCAGGGTTTTACCCTTTGCAAGAGCAAAGTTTGCCTACAAGTGTGTGCTTTCCCTTGGCGATCCACAGAATTAAATGGGGTTAGCTTCATCATAAAATAGTGATTCAGCAGAAAACAACCGTATCTGTTTCTTCTTTCTCTCTCCTAGAGCTAGCGTATCAGGGGTCCTTGAAGGATCCTTGCATTGCCTCTCTTATAATCACCTGTTTTAATTAATAAACTGGTCACCTATGCCATTTGCTGGCAAACGCGCATTCTCCACAAAACACTGTGCTGGTATGACTCCTCTGCAGCAGGTTCCAGTTTGGGAATAAAAATCAAGGCTATCTGGTATTTTGCACTCTCTAGACTACTGTATGAAACGCTGTTGCAAACACACACAAAAGAACTGTCATCAATTATGTATAATGTTATCTTTCCATACTTTCTGTAGTATCATTCACCCTGGCCTCTAAATCCTTAATATTTACCCCATGTTGCCATTTCCCAACTTGTGACATGTGTGAACTAATGTAAAATTTGCTCCTCATTTAAATTACATTTAATCCATTATCAAAATAAACACTAAGGCACGTGAAATAACAGAACAGCTAACTGGTTATGCCTAAGAATCCCAATTAAAGACAGAATCCTCCCATAAAGTACTGCTGCTTCTGTAGTTAAATAAAACGAGGTGTGAATTTTAAATGTGGACTAATTAAGCTACATTTGGTAACAACTTTTCGTTTTTGTGTGACATGCAGCAGCTGTAGTCCAGTTAGGAACACTTGGTGATAATAAATGGTTAAAGTGACAAGGTGCTGAAATCTACATAGACAATGTTTATTTAACCAAGAAAGCCCATTAACCAAATGGTACTAATTCTTTGGAGGGGGGGAAACTAGAAAAGAAGTTAGTATTTTCTTTCTTCATCTCCCTGATGGATGTTTCTTTTACTATTTTTAAGACTAACTCTCCCGTCAAAAGTTTTAACCATGTAGAGAACTACCATCATACAATCTGTAAGTTT